ATTATTATTATTATATGAACAATAAAACAGTCATGATTGGATCTAACTGCTGATATCTTCCTTATAATGTTTATAAGTTAAATTGCAATAATTACCAAATAACAAGTAATTCTGTATTATGTAAGTTTCATTCTAATTATTATTTAAGTTTGGTTGTGAGTTAATTTTAATCCTAAAGAAAATAGGAAAAGGACAATTTGTCCAAAACATCCCTGAAATGTGACAGAGAAATCTAAATCCTTTGCAAACGAATACGAGCTGAAATCCTTTTTCTCACTCTTGTTTCTGTTGGTGTAATTATTTTTGAGAAAAGGAACCAAATATAACATATCTTGTTAACATTTAACATTTTTAGATCCTGTAATGAAACGACGTTCTTGAACGAAACTTATCTCCTCACTGTGAGCTCGTCTTGAGCACCTTCATCTGCTGAATATTCTCCTCAGCCTTCTTTAGTTTCTAGAGGGACGATTCATCACCAAATCAAACAAATCAGACGTGTTCATGATCTAAGCCGTGCATGAACTCGCTGGAAGCAGACTGCAGCGTCAGGCATGTCCACGCTCAGCAGGGACCAGATCAGCAACTCTGAAGTTGCAAGTGTGGTTTTCTGGCCACGGGGGGCGGTGGGGTCAAAGTGCTTCTCGTTAACCCTGTAAAGAAGAAGAAGAAGAAGAAAATATCATTTCTATAGCGCCTCTCAAGATAAAAATCACGAGGCGCTTCACAAAAACAAAAAATGTAAAAATATAAAAAAGCATTTAGAAAATGTTGAAAAATATATTTAAAATGAGCAAAAAGAGACAATTGTGATAAAAATGTTAAGAAAGAGAGAGAGAATAGGAAAAAGGGAAATCAGTGGTCATACTGACTCAAGAAAATGATTTAAACATATGACAAAGTTGCATAGTATCCCTTTAATGCATAAAATTTGATTTAATTGTTTGATTTTTGATCCTGAGGTCAAAGAGGTCCAGGTCTAAACAACAGAACCAGAACATCAATGGTGACAGCCAGCCGTAAACAGAGATCCGCCTGGTTCGGGTTAAACATTAAGTTCTGTAGGTTCAAGCAATTGAATGTTCCAGTTTCATGTACTGTCCTCTGAGATGATGCAAACTGTGTGTGTGTGTGTGTGTGTGTGTGTGTGTGTGTGTGTGTGTGTGTGTGTGTGTGCATCCTGCAGCTTAAAAGGCAGAAACAGGAAGTGATGCTGATGGTCAGATAGTAGCGTTCGGAGTGATTTTGTTGTCTCCGTCAGCCTGTTTGTGTGTTCTGGCTGTGGGGCTGTGGGTGTGTGAGGTATGTGAAGCTCGGTGTTTAAAACAGCAGCGGGCTGATAAGCAGCGGCGTAAATCAGCAGAGACGAGTTAATCAGAAACGTTTAACCTTCATCTCCCACTCGCCTCCCAGTGACTGGACCAGGTCTGAATGGAGGAACGGAGCAGCAGAACAATCGCTCCTTGTTCTCCTGCGGGGTTCTAGCTGCAGGTTTTTACATCTTCTCTCATCAGTTCTCTGAAACGTCTCATTCTCACATTCCACTGAAGCTCAAACATCAGACAGACGCGTTTCACAGAGATTTTGATTCACTTGATGTTTTACGTGGCTTGTTTTACCTCGGAGACTTCATCTGAAACAACTTTACAATGAAACAGAATCAGATGAAAGCTATAAGCTAAAACCAGTTTTATAATGGTTGTACTGGGAATGTCCAGAGCCCTTAGAGGATCACTGATCTTTCAGGTTGTGTCTCTGAAATGATGTTTTTTATAGAGTAAATCATCCTGGAAAATTAGAACTGAATGTGGAATTTTGAGAGGAAAGCCAAGTTCATGGATTTCATAAGGCTCAGATTATGTTTAACACTAATAAATAAACAAATAAAAACAAATAAATAAACAAATTAATAAATGAACAAATACATAAATAAACAAACAAATAATTAATTAAATAAATAAACAAACAAATACATAAATAAACAAATAAATAAATATGAATGATTTAACTCAGTAAAGGTTTGATCCATTCCTCAAAGAGCAAGTCACCCCCTACCAGAGTCTAACTCCACTCTCGCTTCCTGTTTGAAAAATGCAACAAATGCTGTTGGCTGGCAGACCGAGAGGGCGGAGCCGCTAACAAATACACACACAGGCTCACAACGACATTGTGACATCATAATTTACCAGCTAAAGTCATAGTGTAACTCTTGGCCAATAGCGATGGCAGATTTAAATTCAAATGCAGTGCTGAGTTTTTACCTGACGACTGTAGAACACTGTTTTAGGCAGAGTATTTAAATATGAACTAAGATGCACTAAAGCGCCAAATTGTTGACTACACATGTCTACAGCACGATTAGACACTCATTTATAGAAATTATCACCCCAAAAACGTTGATTTGGGGGTGACTTGCTCTTTGACCTGTGAAGGCTAGAACACCTGGATCTACCTGCTGACCCACCTGAGGTGGCGTCGTTAACTTGGATTAATTGATGACTCATTAACTCACAAACTAAGAACTGATCAGATACAAGTGATTTTATCATCTTGTGTAAAACATCGGAATCTTGACCTAGTATTCACTTTGTGTTTTTGAAGAGGAGGAGATAAGGACCTGTAATTAATAATCTTGTAATGATGAACATTTGTGTCTACCATCACAGGAGCTATTCAGTCAGGCTTTCCCTGTTTGGAAATCCTCAGAATTCTGCTAATTTTCCAGTTTTGAGCATTTTGTTCTGTTTCCTTTGGATTCTTGAGAGGAGTTAACCATTACAAACATGAAGCAGAGCAGACAGACAGTGTGTCTGTTTCAGTGTAAACAGATATTCTGATAGTGAGAGATCAAACATGACTCATCGCTCTGACAACGACTCAGCAAGACACGGAGATAACATCGGGAAACGTTTGATGTTTGTTCACTTCTGTCATTCTAAAAGGCTCTTCTTAAGACCGTTACAGCAGGACAGCAGGAATATGGCTCATTCAGCTGTTCGCCTGTCTGACTCATCCAGCTGTTCACCTGACTGTCTCACCCAGCTGTTCGCCTGACTGTCTCATCCAGCTGTTTGCCTGACTGTCTCACCCAGCTGTTTGCCTGACTGTCTCACTCAGCTGTTCACCTGACTGTCTCACCCAGCTGTTCGCCTGACTGTCTCATCCAGCTGTTCGCCTGACTGTCTCATCCAGCTGTTCGCCTGACTGTCTCATCCAGCTGTTCACCTGACTGTCTCATCCAGCTGTTCACCTGACTGTCTCACTCAGCTGTTCACCTGACTGTCTCACCCAGCTGTTCACCTGACTGTCTCATCCAGCTGTTCGCCTGACTGTCTCATCCAGCTGTTCGCCTGACTGTCTCATCCAGCTGTTCGCCTGACTGTCTCATCCAGCTGTTCGCCTGTCTGACTCATTCAGCTGTTCGCCTGTCTGACTCATCCAGCTGTTCGCCTGTCTGACTCATCCAGCTGTTCGCCTGACTGTCTCATCCAGCTGTTCACCTGACTGTCTCACCCAGCTGTTCGCCTGACTGTCTCATCCAGCTGTTCGCCTATCTGTCTCATCCAGCTGTTTGCCTATCTGTCTCATCCAGCTGTTCGCCTATCTGTCTCATCCAGCTGTTCGCCTATCTGTCTCATCCAGCTGTTCGCCTGTCTATCTCATCCAGCTGTTCACCTGACTGTCTCATCCATCTGTTCGCCTGTCTGACTCATTCAGCTGTTCACCTGACTGTCTCATCCAGCTTTTCGCCTGACTGTCTCATCCAGCTGTTCACCTGACTGTCTCATCCAGCTTTTTGCCTGACTGTCTCATCCAGCTGTTCGCCTGTCTATCTCATCCATCTGTTCGCCTGTCTGACTCATTCAGCTGTTCACCTGACTGTCTCATCCAGCTGTTCGCCTGACTGTCTCATCCAGCTTTTCGCCTGACTGTCTCATCCAGCTGTTCACCTGACTGTCTCATCCAGCTTTTTGCCTGACTGTCTCATCCAGCTGTTCGCCTGTCTATCTCATCCATCTGTTCGCCTGTCTGACTCATTCAGCTGTTTGCCTGACTGTCTCATCCAGCTGTTCGCCTGACTGTCTCATCCAGCTTTTCGCCTGACTGTCTCATCCAGCTGTTCACCTGACTGTCTCATCCAGCTTTTTGCCTGTCTGTCTCATCCAGCTGTTCACCTGACTGTCTCATCCATCTGTTCGCCTGTCTGACTCATTCAGCTGTTTGCCTGACTGTCTCATCCAGCTGTTCACCTGACTGTCTCATCCAGCTTTTCGCCTGACTGTCTCATCCAGCTGTTCGCCTGACTGTCTCATCCAGCTTTTCGCCTGACTGTCTCATCCAGCTGTTCGCCTGACTGTCTCATCCAGCTTTTCGCCTGATTGTCTCATCCAGCTGTTTGCCTGTCTGACTCATCCAGCTGTTCGCCTGACCTTCTCATCCATCTGTTCGCCTGTCTGACTCATCCAGCTGTTCGCCTGACTGTCTCATCCAGCTGTTCGCCTGTCTGACTCATCCAGCTGTTCGCCTGACTGTCTCATCCAGCTGTTCGCCTGTCTGACTCATCCAGCTGTTTGCCTGACTGTCTCATCCAGCTGTTCGCCTGACTGTCTCATCCAGCTGTTTGCCTGACTGTCTCATCCAGCTGTTTGCCTGTTTTTCTCATCCAGCTGTTTGCCTGACTGTCTCATCCAGCTGTTCGCCTGTCTGTTTGACTCCTAACTGTTCATTTGTCTTTCGGACTTGTTGAGCTGTTTATCTGTCTGTTTGATTAATCCAGGCGTTTATCTGTCTGTCCGTCTGATCCAGGTGTTTATCTGTCTGTCTCATCCAGCTGTTCACCTGTCTGTTTGACTTGTTCAGCTATTTATCTGTCTGTCTTACAACTGACAACTGCCTCATCCTGCTGTGAACCTGTCTGTCTGACTCGTCTAGCTGTTTGCTCGTCTGTCGGACTTGTACAGCGGTTCACCTGTCTGATAACTGACTCCATCTGTTATTAGTGTTGGCAAAGCTGATCTGGGACCTGCAGTCCTTCCTGTGTGTTCTGGACTCTGAGAACCTGAGCTACATCGCCCAGGCTCAGAAGAAATCCATTTCAGATCTTCTCACCAGACTCCAGACTCCCGATACTCAAGGTGACGGGACTGAGCCAAACTCATCTGAACCACTGGCAGGATCATCAGTCCACGTTTCTGTTGGACCTGCTCAGTTGTTTAATGAAACATACAAACTGATTTATAAGGATGTGAAGATGAAACAAATGAATGTAAATTTATTGAATATATAAACTGATCAAACATAGACTAATACATCCTGATAGCAGTAGCTGAGGTTGTTCTTGTAATGGTTAGAAACAGTAAAGTTGCTGAGTCACTAAAGATTATTTCTGAGCGACTCAGCAAAGTTTCTGTATTTGATGCAAAACTCCTGTTTTTTCAGTGGAAGATGCTGAGTACATGGTTATGAGCTGTCCATCATCGTCTCCTAGCAACGAGCTGACGGACACACCTGGGACAGGTACAGGCTAATACCTGAAACAGCTAATGATTTCATGTTAGCCGGAGAGCAGGAAGCAGCCAGAACATTGTCCCTCTTGCTAGCTTGACTCTGAACAAACGTGTTTGTCTAGAAGGTCTCTGGTCCTCTGAGCTGGTCTCATGTCAGGACCCATCAGTCTGGCCGAGGAACAGGGTGAGTACACACACACACACACACACACACACACACACACACACACACACACACACACACACACACACACACACACACACACACACACACACACACACACACACACACACACACACACACACACACACACACACACACGACCGCTGAAGGGAACAGATTACAGTAAAGTCAGGACCGGCTCACTGGATCAGGGGCTTTGAACTTTGAGGAGCATATAAACAGGAAAATCTATCAACGACTAGAATAGTTACCACTGTCCCCATCACCACTGGTTGCCATGGAAATCCAGGAGCATCGCTGATCCCATCTCAGCAGAACCTCTCTGACCTCAGGGGAACGAGGAGCAGAAAGCTGTTTTTAGATTTGAACCCAGAGGAGGATGGAGGTTCTGTGATGTGGGTCAGTAATGACAGACCGGGCCCTCCTGGGGGCTGGGAGGAGACGACAGGGTGACTGAGTGTGTGAGGGAGGGACAGGAAGTCCACTGTTTACATGTGAGGCGGTCTTCTCTCACTCCTATTGGCTGACGGCTCTGCAGGGGGAGGAAGTAGTCTCCGATGGAGACTGATTAGCATCTGGTCTACGTGATGGACGGAACACACGCACACACACGCACACACACACACACACACACACACACACACACACACACACACGCACACACACACACACACACACACACACACACACACACACACACACACACACACACACACACACACACATAAATTACAGCACATATTTACTAGACTCTGTTCTAAACTCATTCAGGAGCAGCGGAAGTGAAAAACTTCCGTTTTTCTCTTTAGTTTTATTTGCTACCAAATGAAAATTACATTTCCTGTTTTTAATCTACAGAAAACAAGAAAATATTTAATTTCAGTGGTTTCCAAATGAACCCTCACAGATTCAGATCCTCCATCGGGTCACAGAGATTATTTATAACCTTCACGTGTTTGAATAAAATTGTTAATCCAGAGATTCAGCTCAGGGTCTACAGGTAAAGGTCAAAGGTCAGCTCGGGTTTGCTAACGTTTCCTCTTAGTGAACCACAAGACTTCAGGAAAAATCAAACCAAAGTGGAGATTTGCATCCTTAATGCATCTGCAGCACAAACAGCTGATCACAGCTGTCAGCACAGTGGTGGAGGGTTGATGGTTTGGACTGGTTCTGACCCAGCAGCTTTCACTGGGTCCTGTCTGAAGCTAGGACCAAAGCGGGTCATGAAACAGGACCAAGATCCAAACCCAGCAGCACGTCTACAAGGTCCAGTTAGAGACCAGACCAGAACCAGACTCAGCCGCTGGTTTTGGATTTGCTGTTTTACACGAGAGTGGACCAGAACACTGGGAGAGAAGATTAAACTCCTCACTTGTTCTAGGTGTTGGGCCCCATGGTGCCCCCCCACCCTCCAGGAGGTGTCAGAGGTGATGATGAAGAGGAGGATACCTACGAAGAGGCAGAACCTTATCTAGCTGCTGAAACCACAAAACATACACCCGTTGTTCCAGAGAGGGCGGAGTCTGACAGCAGCCACTATGAGTCATACAGTGAGAGGGATGATGATGAAGATGAGAAGGTGGGCCTTGTGAAGGACAGAGCTCACTATATCCAATGGAGCGCCTCGCAGCCCTGCCTAAGGCCCGCCCCCGAGTCCCGTCTCTGTGGCTACCTGTGGAGGAGGAAGTGGCTCGGGCAGTGGAGCAAACAGCTGTTCATCATCCGGAACGACGTGCTGCTGGTGAGGAAGAGGATGAACGCACCTGTCCTGCTGCAGTTCCTGTGGTGTCCACTAGATGCTGCTGTAATCACACATCTCTGTGTGTGTGTGTGTGTGTGTGTGTGTGTGTGTTTCAGTGTTATAAATTTGCTCAGGACCTGTTGCCTCAGATGGAGGTGAACCTTCGAGGCTGTCAGCTCCATTACAAGCTGAAGAGCAACGCTAGGATCCAGCACCAACTCAAACTGGTCCCTCTGGGCTCCGAGTCGCTGGTTCTGGGCTACAGCAGCTTCCAGCAGGCCGACGAGTGGCGGCAGGTCAGCAGCACACGAGCCAACACTAACGCTAACCTCACAACACACACAGTGACTGGTTTAGTTGACTTCTGGTCTGTGTGAAGGCGATGGAGGAGGCAAGCGCTGATGGGGAGCTGGAGACTCGGAGCTTCTCATCGCTGAGTAAATCCGACCATCAGATGTCCTGCAGGGTGACTTTACTTTGTTGAAAGTTTTGTTGAATGAACTGAATTAAAATATTTCTAAAGAGTGTTTTCTTCTGTTTTCAGTCCAGTTCAGTCCAGACCATCTCTGATGAGGAGAAACCTTCACCTGACTGCAGCTTGAACAAAGACCCAGGTATTGAGCTGCTTACAGCCTGAGTCTCACACCCACACGCTTTTTAGGCTTTGGTTCTTGAGGGGGTCAAGTCCACTACTGCAGCCAACATCTGAAGTTCCACAAATTCTACCTAAATACAAACAAGTAACATTCCTTTAAAATATTCTCAAAGCTGGTGGGCAACATTGAAAAGAGGTTAATATCCCGGACAAGCCCCCAAGTTTTAACTTACATATTAGAAAATCGGTAAATGACACCCCTTTGGATTATGTTTAGGGCACATTTTTATATCATTAGCTGTAAACCTAGTTATTCCCAAGTAATCCACTTTAATTAAACTGAATCCTGTTTGCAAGTTAGTAAGTCTTAAAGTTTGCCTTGGAGCAGCAGACACTCCATCTGAAGATGCCTGCAGGGACACATTCCAAATGTGTGTGAGTGTGTGTTGTTGGGCTTGAGTCCAAATGAGTTGCTAGTTTTACTCCCAGTTTTTCTTTAAAAGCCAAGTTCACTGAGAAACTATTTTTACTAGTTTTTTTTTAAATATAATCGGTCACACAGAGTTTAACAAGCTGGCTGAATGTGAAAATAGTCTTCTACCCCATTTCCTGCATTAGCCGTCGATAGAAAATAGAAAACAACTTACTGAGTCTTCCTAAGATGTGATTTTATGGTTATTTATGTATTGGCGGGGGAGGGGGTGTACTTTGGCACAAACTGTTGCTGTTTTGTCTTCAGTATTTTTCCATCACTTACCTGGCGAGTGAACGTCGGAATCCACAGGACTAAACTGTACTTACATCAGTTAAACACTTTGCTGCTGCCCTCAAAACGCCATTCTAGCTGACCTGAGTTCAGACCCAGAGCTCAGAATGTTGCAGCAGTAAAGGAGTATCAGAGCCTGACCCAGCGGTTTTGTTTCAGGGTTCCTGAACGTTCTGATGAACTGTCAGTGGCAGAGTTTATGGTGCCAGGTGGAGGATGGAGTTCTCAACATGTTTGGCGAGGAGGAGGTGAAACAGGAAGAGCAGAAGAAGCGTTCTCCAGAGTACACTGTCCAGCTCAGAGGCTGTAAAGTCAGAGGAGGAACTGACACTGATCGCTCCTACAGGATCTCTCTGAGCATGCTCGGTGACCAGGTGGCTGTACTGGAGGTGAGCCAGCGGCTCCGTTTGCTTGTTTCTGTTTGCTCCACGTTAACCATCCTTCTGTCTGGCATTTGTCTCCGCAGGTGAACTCTTCAGAGGAGAAACTACGTTGGCTGAAGCTGCTTCAGGACGTAACTGTCAATCACAGTTACCATGACAACAAGACTCAGGAGCCCACAGGGGGCGCTCTGAGGTTAGAGGTCATACATCCAGTTACCATTCAATTCTGTGTCCCAATAAACACATAAAATTAAACTCAAAGGAAACTTCTCAAAGACAGCAGCCTGGATAAGGGTTTAAAATCCCGGACAAGCCCCCATTTTCTTTACATACAGAGTTAAGCAGCGCCCTGTTGCGATTTCTGTGTGTGTCAGACTTTGGTCTAAATTTGGTCTCAATTTAAACCTTTTCATTTTAAATTCCTGCTGAAAAACTTTAATTAAGACTCATTAGAACTAAAACAAAAACACAACCCAGGAGGGACGTTGCACGTTTCAGAAAATATTTGGATTTTTCACTTGAATAAGTTAACCTTGTATTAAATTAGCTTTAGCCTCAGTTGGGGAGTTGTTTATTAGTCCTGATGGGAAAGTGTTTTACAACCACCTGAGCGGAAACCTTTCCATTATGTTTCCTCCTCAGCGGGCTGCAGACTCGCAGGTTCCCCACCTCCAACACCTACATGGACGACCCGTTCAGTCTGAGCGGAGTGAGCAAAGACCAGCCCGTCTACTCCAACTCCTCCATTCTGGAGCACATGGTAAAAAACACAGAAGAAGGGGCTAAACAGGAGAAAGATGACCTCATGGGTAGAAAGGAAAGCAGATTAAACTGTAGTTTCCCATAATGCATCATCTTTGTTAGCTTTAGATGCGTTCTGGTGGTTTAGAAGAAAATGTTGGTGAATCTTTGTCCTCCTGCAGCTCCACAGCTCTCAGGATTTAGTTCAACGCAGCTCGATGTCGTCCAGGGACTCGACGACCTACAGCAACACGACTGTTTGCAGTCAGAGTGAGTCCTGGTCTGGTTCAGGTGGTTTGGTTCTGGTCCTCTTCACAGACACAGACACATCTGTGGGGAAGAACTGGATGCTGCAGCAGCAAAAGATCTAACAGCTTCCACATGTGCCAACTCTGTTTCAGGTAAACAATTGAGAGAGGTGCAGCGCAGCGTTCAGAAGCTGGAGCTGGCTGGGAAACCTGTGGTTCAGATGAGGGCGGAGTCAGAAACCAACCTGGTGTCTGCAGTCAAGCGAAACAAACGCACCTCCTTCAGACAGTCGCTGGCCATCTGCACCGAACGTGCCCAGGTAGGAAAACCTGGTCCAGATGTTCTCTGATCAACATCTGACTCTACACATTATTGTGTCTGCTCACTGGTTCTACTGGGCCTTCTGGGTTCTGCTCCAACTGCTCATCTCTGCTGGCCTCCACTGATCCTTACTGATCTCTGCTCATCCTTGCTGCTCTCTGCTGATCCCTGCTTGTCTCTGCTGATCTCTGCTGATCTCTGCTCATCCTTGCTGCTCTCTGCTGGTCTCTGCTTATCTTTGCTGATCCCTGCTTGCCTCTGCTGATCTCTGCTGGTCTCTGCTCATCCTTGCTGCTCTCTGCTGATCCCTGCTGGTCTCTGCTGATCCCTGCTTGTCTCTGCTGATCTCTGCTGGTCTCTGCTGATCCTTGCTGCTCTCTGCTGGTCTCTGCTGGCCTCCACTGATCCTTGCTGCCCTCTGCTGATCCCTGCTGGTCTCTGCTGATCCCTGTTGATCTCTGCTTGTCTCTGCTCATCCTTGCTGCTCTCTGCTGATCCCTGCTGGTCTCTGCTGATCCTTGCTGCTCTCTGCTGATCCCTGCTGGTCTCTGCTGATCCTTGCTGCTCTCTGCTGGTCCCTGCTGGCCTCCACTGATCCTTACTGCTCTCTGCTGATCCTTGCTTGTCTCTGCTGGTCTCTGCTGATCCTTGCTGATCCCTGCTGGTCTCTGCTGATCCTTGCTGCTCTCTGCTGATCCTTGCTGATCCCTGCTGCTCTCTGCTGGTCCCTGCTAGGTGGGCTTCCTGAACCCTCTGTTGCGACGGACGGCCTCAGCGAAGACCTCTCTGAGACGAGCTCCTTCAGCGCTGTTTATTGAACATGGAAAGGTTTTCCAGAGGAAGAAGGTGAGATGTTCTCCAGCTGAAGGTCCTCTCTACAGGTCTGCAGGATTTGTTTGGAAAACAACAAAAACAGTCGATGGTGTGTAAATATTAATATTTACTTTACAATCAATTATTTTTTTCTCATTTGCAGGAGTGGGAGACCAAAGCTGCTGCTTGACATTCACTTCCTGTTTATCATCCAATAAGCTTTAAATAAGCACAATAATTAATATGAAATGGTGAGTTGAGCAGCACTCAGCTGTGATTGGTTGTTGGAGCTCAGGTAGACCTCAGATCCAAAGTAAATCTAACGTTCACACATTTTATGTTATGTTGTTTTTATTTGAATGGATTTGTTTTTCTGAAGTTGTATATTTATGTCAGACTGACCTCATCGATTCATGAGGTGCACCTCGCCATTTTACTTCCTGTCACCTTAAGGCTGGAGTTGACTTCTTATTGGCTGATATCTAAAAGCCCAAAAAGGGGGCGGAGCATGTGAAAAATTGAGACATTTCAGGCAAAACATTGAGTGCTGATGTACAATAACATTGGTAGTTGATTTTATAAAAAAGCATTGTTTTAATTAACAAACTAATTAGAAAACCATTAAATCTGATTAATTATGTTTAATTAGGTTTTTGATTTGAATTATTTTATCTGATTTTTCAGCTAAAAGCACAAACAAAACATATAAATCTCAACCTGTCGCTGTTTTTAGAACAATTGTTTGTGTTGTTGTGATAAACCAACCTCTTTAATTGTTCAACTGAGATTTTAATCTATTTATTCTCTGAAAACATAACAATCTTTTTAACGTCAGAATATTAAACACATCCTTTTGATGTTCAATTATTAAGAGCTAAAGATTAAAGTTTGATGTTGGTTTTCAGTCTTTTCCTGTTTGTGAATTATTTTTTCAAATTTAACTTTAAAGTTTGTTTTGATGTTAGATTATTAAATAAACACATAAACAACAGCACAGCTCTGAGGAACCAGAAACCGCAGAACCGCGGCTTGTGAGAGAGAGGAGAGTGTATCTCCGTTAGGAACGCCACGACATGGAAGAAAATGTTCTTATTTGTTATTAGTGGAGAAACATCAATGCTGAAGAGCAAACAGAGTCTGTTATCCAATCAGAGGTGAGATGTTCAAATATCAGGAAATAAGTCTCCAAACCATCGACATATAAATATTGGACAATGGGTTTCCAAAGCCTCCAATATCACGTTTTTGTATTAAAATGGGAGGCGGCCACCACCGCCATTTTGACCATGTCACAGGTTCCGTCAAGCCCAGACAATTCCAAAAAAGGGAAGAGAGGTGGAGCTGAGGGTGGGGCTGTAAGGCTGGGATCAACTGACGACACCCGGTCGAACTAGCTACAAGCTAACCTGAAGCTAACCCAAAGCTAACGCGGAGGTGGGAGCTAAGCTAACAAAGGTAGCAACCTAGCTACAACCGGAGTTAACTGTGCACAACACCAGAGCTTCTGAGTCAGAGATACGCCGGGCTGACCGCTGGGTAAAACCGGGTGGAACACAGAGGTCTCCCGAGAGCTCCACAAGCCGGCAGCCGCACAGCAGACAAGCACCGCTGCCATCTTAGATGCGCAGAGCTGCCGCTGGGGAGAACTGGGTGGAAAACATCGGTCTCCCGAGAGCTCCACAAGCCGATAGTGGGAACCCAGCTCCACCAACATGTTATATTTCAACCCATTTTCTAAAGTGCAGCATTATGTTAAATGCACTGGGTTTTACCCTATTACATTTAAATTTCATGGTTAAACAGTACATGTTAAAATCTAAGCTCAGCTCGGCAGTGACCTAAAATACATAAATATAATTTTACTTACAGATAAAAATGAAGTGGAGACTCCTTGGACGCTCTATTAGTGCAATTAATGCCACAGCAAGTCATTTTGTCCAACAATTGCACAAAAATATCCAAAACAGAATACACAAACACAGAGACTCAAAATCCCGGAGCAGTTTCCAGACCAGACCGAGGCTCTACTGAGGCCTTTCCACGGAGCTAGCTCTGTGGTCACGAGGGTCTGATGCTCAGTAATTATACAGAATTTTAGGCTTTTAATGCACTTAAACAGAAGAGTGAGAAAAACATTCACCCCCCTCAGAGTTGTCATGAGTGTAAACTAGATCATTTAAACCAAAAACATGTTTTGGTACCAGGCTGTAAACATGTTTATTTCTGCTGTGAAATTGGTATTTTTAACATGGGAGCCAATGAGGATTTGCTCGCTTCTGACACCAGCCCCCAGTGGATGAGGGTGGAACTGCAATTTTTGGTACTTCCGGGATTGCTTCAATTTTTGAGCCGCATTGTGGGGGCTTGCTCCAAACCCTGCCATCTGAAGCTCAGCTCTAACGTAGCTCACTTCTAGTTCCCGAAACAGGGCTTTTATTCCCCAGAGAACGGCTTTTAAGGCTTACTGCTAGAGAGCCCTGCACACGTTTAAACGAGTGATCCACACCTTTAATAAAATCAGATTAGTATTTCTGAGATTCAAGAAGAAAAGTCGGATTAGCCTCTGTGACCTTTGATGACCAGAGGAGGCACCAGAAACAAGAAAAGAGGCTTGACGTCTTCGCAGAAGAACTCTTGTGCCAATCCAGACCAGTATCACCACCAGAACCCTGATCCAGACCCGTTTAAACTCAGAGAGTCAGAAAGTGGCTCCAGATGTTGATATAAACATTTTATTGTAACTCAGATGCTGCAGATATGAAAGCACCAACAGCAGGAATCAGAACATCACTGGTATTTACATCCGCAGGAATGACTTCGGACCTACGGGCCAACGGGTCGGACGGATCAGCTGTTTATCACTCACATGTTTTCCTTTTATTTCATCATAAGTAAACATGTTCTTTTTGTTGCTAAAGATTCTAAACTTCTAGTTTTTAAAATATTGGTCGAGTCTAACAAGATGAATTCAGTTTTATAATCAGGATTCAAATGTTTTTGTGTTTTCACCTCATAAACAAATGAATTCATCCATTTTTGTTCGATTAAACTCTGAAACCTGTCATCAGAGTAAAAGCCACATGTCTGAGTGACTCAAACAGGTTAAAGGTCAGAAACGTTGATGAGGGTCGAAGTCATTCGGCAGTTTTAAGGATAATAATAAAAACAGATTAAAACACCTCAAAATGTGCAAAAAAGAAAGAAAGATGGAAACAATCTTTGTGTCGTTGTGGTTTCTTGTTCTTACCAATCAGAGCAAAGCGTGAGTAAACCCTAAACATCAAATCCTAAGTAGAGTGACTGATGCTTGTTCTCCTTCAGGTTGTTATGAGTCTTTTATTTTGTAGTTCGACAGAAACAGGAAGCTGTGAGGTGAAGCAGGAAGTAGCGGCATGATTTATGCTGAAACTGATGCGGATCTGATCTGAATCAGATTTAAAGGTGGATTTAGAACCAGAGTTACATGAAAATCTGATAAAAAATAAAATTAAAAAATACATAAAAACTCAGAACTTAAAATAAATTAAATAACTTTTTTCTAGAAATTAAACCTGAAAATGAGGTTAGATATTTACATTTACTTTCAGTATTTTAGTTTTTAGCCTTTAAAAATAAAGCAAAAGCAGTTCAATGAAACACTAAATGAGCTGGACTGAGAGAATAAACTGTTTTTTATTCATTAAATCCACGAACTACGTTTGTTTGTTATCATCAGGACAAAAACAATTTATCAGCCCAAAAGCTAGCAGAACCATTTCAACTTGATCTTTAATATTTTGTTGTGAAACATTTAGATTTTATTTAGATGAGACCACAGCGCCCTCTGCTGGATCCAACCAGAAACGGTAACCTTCAGGCTGAGATGTTCCTGATTATTTAGTTAAATTATAACAAATGAGTGAAAACAAGCAGCTGATTAATTATTAACGAATCAAAAAAACAAATGTTTTACTTCCTGATGGGTGGAATCTGATAAATCACATTAAAATCCGGTTCTGCTGGAACCCAATCTGGTTCTCAGATGGGTTTAATACCTAAGGTTATGGTTTAATGATACGGTTGAACAGAGTCACACTCATCCATCACCAAAGTTCTGGTTTTTAAACATTCTGAAGTTTTACATGTTGGTTTAATTCATAACAAACATGCCACGCCTCCACGGAGGTCAAAAACAGCCGAACATCGTTTGGTCACAAAGCAACACGAGCTGAGACCTACTGGCCGGGGTCAGTGTGTGTGTGTGTGTGTGTGTGTGTGTGGCAGTGGCTTCTGCTGAAGCGAAGGAAGAAAACAAGGAGAGAAGCTGATCGGAGTCCAACTAGGAATGCTGGAGTGTGTTTTAACCCGGTGTTGAAATCCCGTGTGAATTTGTGTCTTGTTCTCGTGACGCTGAAGGGGATCAGGCTACTTCCTGCTTCCGTCATGAAATAATCTGTTCCTATGATGTCATGAAGCAAACTTTGGGTCAGCTTTTTTGTTTTTATCTTTGTTTTCTAATCATGCAGAAAACAATTTGTTGTGAGGAATAAACAAGGGCGTCCCCAAGGGGTGGCCAGGGGTGGCCAAGGCCACCCCTAGAAAATTGCTGACCCCCCCCCCCCCCAAGGAAAAGTCAGTGTTAATAAATCATATTAAAGTTCAGTCAAACCATATATTGATCTTGTTTTCTCAAGATATAATTGGAAAACAAAATTAAAATAATACAATTCATAAGTAAAGAAATAATCAGAATAAAAAATAATTACATATGTTTCTGCTGCTCACCGTTTTAAAAAAGTTTTTATCTACATAGTTTTTTTTTGTGTGAATACAGCAACAGGTGAATAACCCTAAAACCTTTTAATTTGAAATTAAATTTGGAATAATATTCTAAATAACTGAAATGTTTGTGTTTGTAAAATGTAACTTAAATGTTTTGGATACGTACCGCTTTTTTAATAAAAATGAATATAGGAGCAATGCAATACATCGCTACAGGCTAAACTCTCCCAGAGTTACCACAAGGACCAATCTGGTGGGCCACCCCAAAAATTTATTTGGCCCCATCTGGCCACCCCTATCTAAATTTTCTGGAGGCGCCCCTGGGAATAAAGTTTGGATTTATTTGACTTTGTGACAACATTTTCTCCACTGAGACTCAGAGGGGACGTTAGCTCAAAAATAATTAGCTTTACTTTATTAAAATGAAGGAAATTTTAGTTTAGGAACATTTTAGAATTATTAACCATTCAAACTGTTTGATGTTTGATTTTCTCCTGATTCTAAATAGTTTTGTTAAACATGATTACGGTAGAAAACAAAATCTAGTTTTTAAATTTCATGATTTAACCTCCAATTGCCCGTGAATGTGAGATGTTTGTTAACTTTTGATTAACTTCTCATTTTTAAAATATTCAAAAAAAAAATTATCTTTTCACTTAAACATCCGGATCCAGTTTCATATTATTCTGTTTTGATTCCTTTTTTAAATCCTAAATAAAAACATTTGAAATGATTTTTCCTTTTCTTTCATCATATTAAATAAATCAGAGGTTTAGAGTTTGGACCGGCAGCTTTGGGACCAGAGGTTCTGCTCCTGTTTTAGATGTTTACCTGCTCTAGCACACCTGGTTTAATTGAACGGGTCGTTACCAGAACTCTGCAGAACTCAGAGCTGATTTGGTTCTTTTGGATCGGGTGTGTTCGACCGGGACGGGTCTGGACTCAGCCTGCGATCAAACAGACTCCTTGTTTCCTTCTTTGCTGGAATTGAAATGCTGTCAGCGTGACATCATCGCTGGCTGAGCCAATAGGAGGGCTCCTTATCAGAGGCTGGTCTGGAAAACTGACTCAGGGTCAGAGGGAATGTGATTCCTTTTGTCAGAGCAGGAAGAATAAAAGCTCACGTCACACCTACGACCTCTTCCCGCTCCAGGCTGGTTGGGATTCTGGAGCTCTAAACGTTCACCCTGCTGCAGCAGAACTCCAAAAGCACTTCTCAGCAAACCCAAGAGTCCACGGCGCCGCTGGCACCCGAGTCTGTTTGGTTCCCCGCCGGCCGGCACGGGGAGAGCAGGGGATTCTGGGACGTGTAGTCCCAAGGGCATCAGAAGAGACAGACCTTCTTCTTCAGCTCATTCCTCTTCCAGAGGGACAGGCTGTCGTAGTCCTCAATGGACATCCCAAACACGCTGAAGAACTCCTCCTGAGAGAGATGTCTCTGCAGGCGGGAGACACGGGGACAAGGACAGGGACAAAAACAGCTGATTATCAATCATAAAGACAGATTTGGGTCAAACTAAGCTCTAAAACAGCCGTTTGGTTTCTTACTTTAACAAATCAATCATCTAAAGTTAAAGAACGGATTCTGCTTCAGGTTCTACCTCCAGTCTGGTTCGGTCCACTCCAGGAGGAAGTTTGAGTCTTCCTCTGTGGGTCACCACCAGCATCTCGTAGGGAAAAATCTACAAAACGAGTCGATCGGACAAGCCAACAGAACCATTCACACGTTAGTCTGGATTATCACAGATTAGTGGTTTTATCATCCAGCTGGTGGTTCGGACCTTACGATCCAACATGCTGGGCAGCGAGTTTCCTCTGTCCATCCTGGAGTCTCCGTTCTGGTCCAAACAAACAAACAAACAAACAAAACAAGCGTTATAACTGTCCAACTAGGAATCCTGTGGATCAGATCTGGGAGCAAAACAAGGAGATGTTTTACCTGAAGAGCTGTAGAGAGGAACACACACACACACACACACACACACACACACACACACATGAGTGATTTCATGAACGTTAAACACTCAGATAAGATCAGTAATCAGGTGAACTTGTTACCTGACTGACTCATCTTGGAGGAGCTGAACTCTGTGGACTGAAGCTGGAAACAAACAGAAACCTTCATCATCGTCTTCATCAGACTCTGGCCCAGGTGTGTCCAACCTCCTAACCAGCATGTTTTACCCAGATCCTGCTGCTCCGACACACCTGGTTCGAGCCGAATCTCCAGAGCTGAAGCCTGCTCTGATCCTGAACTCTGCTCAGTGTTAAAATCAAACGTTTAACCAAAGTTTGTTAAATCACTAAACTGATCAAAAATATTAGCTTAATCTAAACCTTCCACTTTCATTTTGGATCCAATCCCAACCAAATTATTTAAAGATGCATTTCCTTTGGTTACTGCCCCCATTCTAGATATAATCAGTCTATCGTTAGTAAATGGATATGTACCACAAGATTTTAAGGTTGCTGTAATCAAACCTTCACTTAAGAAGCCTTCTCTGGATCCAGATGACCCAATGAATTATAGACCAATATCCAACCTTCCATTTTTATCCAAAGTCCTGGAGAAAATAGTGGCCATCCAAGTATGTGAGCATTTAAACACTAATGCTCTGTTTGAGGAATTTCAGTCTGGTTTTAGAGAGTATCACAGCACTGAAACTGCATTAGTGAGAGTTACAAATGATATTCTCATGGCCTCAGATAAGAATCTTGTGTCTGTTCTAGTCTTGTTAGATTTCAGTGCTGCCTTTGACACAGTTGATCACAATGTTCTTTTAGAAAGGCTTGAACATGTTGCAGGGATCAAAGGAACAGCACTAGGCTGGTTTAAATCCTACCTGTCTGACAGATTTCATTTTGTAAATGTACATGACAAATCTTCTTCATACTCCAGGGTTACTTGCGGCGTACCACAGGGTTCAGTGCTTGGACCAATTCTTTCTACTATACATATGCTCCCAATTGGTAAAATCATTAGACAGCATGGGATAAACTTCCACTGTTATGCTGACGATACTCAGTTATATTTATCCATTAACCCTGATGAACCTAATCGGTTGGGTAGATTACAGGCTTGTCTTGAGGACATAAAAAATTGGATGACTCTAAAATTTTGCCTTTAAATCAAGACAAGACGGAAGTTCTCATCTTTGGACCAGAAATCCAGAAAAAGGAAATTGCTTAGCCAATCGCCTGACCTGAATGGCATTACATTAATCTCCGAGAACAAAGTAAGGAACCTTGGTGTTATCTTTGACCAGGACATGTCATTCAAATCCCAGGTTTAACAGGTTTGCAGGATTTCCTTTTTCCACCTTCGGAATATTGCTAAGATTAGAAGCATCCTTTCCAGGAGTGATGCTGAAAAACTAGTTCATGCATTTATTACATCAAGACTGGATTACTGCAATTCATTACTCTCAGGAAGTCCACAGAATGTAGTTAAAAGTCTTCAGCTTGTCCAAAATGCTGCAGCTAGAGTTCTGATGAGAATTAAAAAGAGAGATCATATCTCTCCTGTCTTAGCTTCCCTACATTGGCTACCTGTTAAATTCAGAATAGATTTTAAGATCCTTCTTCTCACATACAAAGCTCTTAATAATCAAGCTCCATCATACATCAGTGATCTGATTGTTCCATACGTTCCTAACCGAGCACTTCGCTCTCAGACTGCAGGTCTACTGGTGGTTCCCAGAATATCTAAAATTAGGATGGGAGGCAGATCTTTTAGTTATCAGGCTCCTCTTCTGTGGAACCAGCTCCCAGCCTTAGTCTGTGAGGCAGACACCTTGTCTACTTTTAATAATAGGCTTAAAACATTTTTATTGATAGAGCCTATGGTTAAAATCTGATGTTAGCCTAAATCTGGACAAGTGGGGGAGTAGAGGGAGGTGGAGTGTACAGTCGGTAAAGACGGCTCTCCCTTGCCCTGCCTCCAACATGCCTACATCTAAATAGGATAGATTATCCAGGGTTAACTCTGTAGTTATGCTGCTATAGGCTTAGACTGCTGGAGGATACACTGACCACTTTCCACACTCTACTGCTTTCTTCTACAATCTGCTCTTTAACTGTATTATTTCCTGCTATTTCAGCTGTTAACTTTATTTTCTCTCTAAGTGTTTTTCTCCCCAGAAGAAGCTACAATGATGTTCTGCTGAGCTGTGGTGGCCTCATGGAGGGGGCCATCGTCTAGCACACTGCTGCTAACCACTTAAACGTTCTCCCTCTCCTGATAATAACGTTTTGCTTTCCTTGACGTTGGATGTGCTACTACTAGTTTAGCCGTTTAATTATAGATCCACTAGGATAAATACAATAAAGTTTATCTCTCACCAAATAGAATATTTACTAAGACATCACAATGTAACCATAGAAACACTACTTGGTGTGTGTGTGTGTGTGTGTGTGTGTGTGTGTGTGTGTGTGTGTGCGCGCGCGCGCTTATGGTTTGCCAGACCAAGGATGTGCCTGACTTTAAATCTGCTCTACTGAAGATGACTATCAACTGATGCCATATGTAATTATAAAATATAATAAATATTGGCTCAATGCATCGGCCTATTCCTAGTTAAGATCAGGTCTTTTGGAGCAGAGAAACCTGTGGAACATGCTAGATGGACATTCTGGAGGACACCGCTGCTCTAAACAATCCATCCGGACATTTTAATTTGAAAAACTCACCCTGGACAGGCCGCTCTTAGAGGATGCTGGGAAATAAACAGACCTGGAGGTGTTGGTGCCTGAAGAGCAGGAGAAGGAACAAGTAGGTGATTCCCGTGTGTGTGTGTGTGTGTGTGTGTGTGTGTGTGTGTGTGTGTGTGTGTGTGTGTGTGTGTGTGTGTGTGTGTGTGTGTGTGTGTGTGTGTGTGTGTGTGTGTGTGTGTGTGTGTGTGTGTGTGTGTACCAGCACTGTGGTTTCGGTCCGGCAGAGACCGAGTTTTCCTTCTTAGAGGAGTTGCGGACTTCCCCAACTCCTCTTTTAGGATGATTTTACCCAGATTGGACTGAATCTGTTGTAAACAAACAAACAAACAGATTCACCGCAGTTTATTTATTTAACGTTGATGCACAAAACAAGTCATCTCAGTCCAGAGCTGAGCCTAATTCTTCAGCGGACAGAACAGCACATTCAGGTTGTTTTCCCGTGTTTCCTTACGTAGCGCTGATTTTAAAATGGCCGTGGCCGTCTGCCTCTGCCAGCACCGCGGGTGAGCGAGGGACAGAGACACTCCAGCAACAGGATTTACCGTAATACCGCTAAGCGGACTTGAAAGTGCAACTTCTCTTCTTTTAAAAACTGTTTCATTTTTATGGCACATTTACGTTCAAACAAGCATATAAAACGTGTCAGAGTTCGGCGTCAGAGCGTGTTTTAGTGAGGACGGCTCAGAAAAACATCCAGGCAGCCTGTCTTGGAAAATAATGCAGGAAAAATCCTATATGCAATTATTTTTGTTAATAAAATTCATTTGAAAACAATGTTTAGCTTCAGGTTACCTCCGTATCATTAGGATAGAAGAATAACATATTTTTACGCCTCTCTAGATAAAAAACACAAGCTGCTTTCTGAGAACGTTAAAAAATCATTTAAAAAGAAAATATTGGTAGAAAGCGAATCACAGCTTTTTATGGTATCATGGTACATTCAATACAACTATATTGTGAATAATGTGTTGAGCCTTGATTTGAAGAAAGCTGTGAATGCAGCTCTAGCTAGTATTCAGTCTTTAGTGTTAACAGTTTATCTGCATCAGCATCCTGTTGGAGGACGTCGTTCTACCGTTCTAGAGTCACCGCCGAGAGCTACAAGCGGCCCACGTGTTGGCCACGCGTTGGCCAACCTGGTTCACCTTGTTCAGTTCTTGTCTCTGAAGAGTTCTGAGACCCCACAGCTCATCATCTTCCTCCTCCTCCTCGTCCCTCTGCTCCTTCTTCTTACACTCACTCTCTGCAGTGAGGAGACAAGGAGACAAGGAAAGGAGACATTGAGTCAAGACAAGGGAACAGCTGGACGAACAAGAAGCAGATTATCAGGATTTACAGAAAACATCTGGAGCATTTCATAGAACACCAAACATCTGTGGCTGTGTGTGTGTGTGTGTGTGTGTGTGTGTGTGGGGGGGGGGTCGTACCAATTACAGCCAGAGAGGGGGGGCAGGGCCAGTAGTCGGTCTCGATCTTTGAAGGTTGGTTAGGATCTGGAGGATGAGCGGCAGGGAACTTGGAGGACTCGATGATCAGATCCTCAATGTGTTTCCCCTGAGGGACGGCAGAGGACGAAACATCTGGACACACACACACACACACACACACACACACACACACACAGAAACCATCTCATCCTGCTGACCAGCAGCTCATATTTAATCAGCTTTAGCGTGTGTGTGTGTGTGTGTGTGCGTGTGTGTGTGTGTGTGTGTGTGTGTGTGTGTGTGTGTGTGTGCGCGTTTCAGCTGACCCAGATCCAGATGTGAACTCACCTTGTTTGTAGATCGGAGGTTTCTTATAGATGTTTGAGCCGTTTTCTACAGAAAATAAAACATAAAAAAACAGAAAATGACGCCGCCGTTCAACAGGAAGCAGGAACTTTTCTCACTGATCCACCAGGATTTTTTGTAATCTCTGCTGAGACTAATGATATCAGCGTGGTTCTGACACACGAAGAGTTACCGGGTCGGTGGAAGTGCTGCATGGGGCTCTTGGTTCCAGAGGAGTGTGTGTTGGGTGTGTGTGGTGGTGGCGGCGTGTGTGAGCTCTGTGTTCTGCTGCTCTGGGTCGTGGAACAAGGCGAAGAACCTCCAGGTGACCGGTTCTCCGGCCACTCCCGAGACTCCTTGGACGAGTTCTGGAAAGAAGAAGCAGAAGCAAGAGGACAGGGTCGGGACTCTTTCATCCAAAGCGGCTCATGAAAAAGATGGAACGATGCGGGGTTCTTCAGACGAACAATAAACTAGAACATTTCAAACAACCTTCAATTCAAAGATACTCTATTAATCCCAGAGGGAAATTAGAGTTTCAGTGCACACTATTCTAAGATCAGACATCAGACACATGACAAGAATTGGTGACTGTGGTCATTCGCAACCCGAGTCACGCTACCGTAATCGATCAAGAGGGTTTATATGAGAAGAGAGTCAGGGGGAGGGGAAAAGGCCCTTCAGAGTTACCCCAGACAGAGAGGATAGCTTTGCTATGCAAAAAAAAACAAAACACCTCAGACAGAAATGCACACAGACTTCAGACGTTACACAACATAAGTGTCCACTAGGTGGAGAGGTAGGGTCGGGACTCTCCTCACTTCAGTGCATGCAGCCACATGGGGCAGCGCTCATCACTGAGTGTGTTTACATGCAGCCAGTAAACCTTTTAAAACCCGAATATCCACAATAACCCGGTTCGGCAGGTCCATGTAAACACCGCCAAAAACCCGGATATGCTCATAACCGGGTTTTTAAAAACCCGGTTACTACACCTGGGGTAACCCTTTTCTAACCCAAATGTTTGGTCGTGTAAACGCATATCGGGATATCCCCATCGAAGCGTGTGTTCTGCTCATGCTCTGTTCGCAAGGAATCTTGGTCTTTTGAGTAGCGAGACGTCTCGTATGCGCCAGAACACCGGAAGTAAACAACAAGTTGGGAGCAACATGGCGAGTCGCGGCACAGCACCACACTTTCAGAGTGACGAGGAAACTAAAGCGCAAACAAACGCGGTCGCTATCTCTTCCGAACTGGGAAACACGTTGTTGTTTTCACGGATACCGGAACGAGAAGAACCGGAAATGAGGCATATTGCGTCTGGACGTAGTCCATACGTCCTGATGCTACCCCAACGTCCACATTTAAATCGGGTTATGCAAGTTAGGGGTAACTCTTTCTATTTGTGCTTGTAAACGGGTTATTCTGATCAACTCAGAAACCCGAATACCAACCTTAACCCGATCATAACCCGATCATAACCCGGATATTGGCTGCATGTAAACATAGTCACTTCCATTTGGACAGGGGAGGGAGATAATGGGTTAGAGAGCACATTGACTCCTAGATACGGTTCCACGGCCTTCACCGGTCACAGTCCCGCCCAGGCTGGGATAGGAAGAAAGAGTTTCCATAGCAATGGCAGCATTCCACATTTCTTCTGAGGGGGGGGGGGGTTACACTTCAGCCTCACAGGCTCCAAGGGCACCAGATTCGGATAGTAAGAATTGTTTTGGGTACAGACAGAGATAATTTCCTCTCCGCCTTAGTGCTCTGTTGGTCTCCAACCCCTCTAGATCCAATAATGGCGTAATTAATCTATCCCAATCCGTGCTGATCCGTCAACTCTCTCCTCGATCGAATCCACCGAGCCTGAGCCTGAATCTCAGCCAAAGTTCCAAGCTTACGACTCATCTCGACAATGATATGAGTTTGTGCGTTCACAGCGTGGCGCATTCCACCCCTGAGCTCCGGGATTGAGCCAATGTTCCTCAAAAGCTTGTTAATTTTCCGGTAAGCCAGGTAACCGCTCAGGCCAAACAGCAGGAATCCCAACACCAAAACGACGAATATCCAGACGTCTTCAGCATCCTCTACAGACAGTTGAGAGAGGCAGATCATGTTCCACTGTTTCCAGGAGTCCATGATATACCCAGCGGGTTCTGTCCCTGAGGGGCATCCGGGAGCCCCTTCTCCCGTTCTCATCGGTGAAAAGATGTTGTCAGTCGTGTTGAGAGACCAACTGACCAGATCCATTTTTAATAATGTCCAGTTTCCAGAAAAAATGCAGAGAAGCGCCGTGCACAAGCAGACACCGGACAGAGAGCCTTGGGAAGAGCAGGAGAGGAGAAAAAAGCGTCTGTACTCTCCAAGAGCCGGAAGCAGAGTAAGTGTTACCTAAGTACCTAAGGGTTATGAAGCTTTAAACTGATTTTTAACAGAAATAACACTGAT